AGTTACCGTGTTCTACACTAACTAAACTTCACACACTCCTTCTGTCCTTTACTGAATCGAAGAGTCCAAACAATGGGCAGAGATGGATAGGTGTTAGATATCGTCTGGTTCTAACTCTGCATTACATGACTGATTGGTGCTTGCTCGTGCTACCGCGTTAGAGAGAGCAGTACTGGTAAGGGAACCCAGAAATTAGGTACCGTTGCTGACGCCCCTACTCCCCACACCAATGAGCCAAGATAACGCTGGTCATAACTGTTGATTCGTTTGACTACACGAAGTTTTTGTTTTCAAATTTACGGCGAATTCTCGTTGAAAACAATTGCCGGTTAGGCAGCCCCGTACACACACGAAAAAGTGCCAGATTTCTGTTTTCATTTTTTTGGGACCGTTATTCTTCTGAAACCACGGTGGATTAGAATCCATGAGTTTGCTCTCGGAAATCAGCAACTTAGGCCATTGAGTCACCATGATCCATCAATGACCGCGACAAAGCGCAGCCAATCATATAATACTATGCGTGTCAAGGAAATGTAGAAGGCACCGTTGGACCCCAGATTCAAGATGGTTTTACGCGCCATCACCAGTGGAGATGGCATGCAGGCTGCTTGGCAGACTGTTGGTTATCCAACGGTGGCAGTATTGGTATCAGATGCTGACTTCCACGTATATGGATGGTGGATGCGATTACATGAGGAGTCGGGGGAATGCTCAGTGCTGATGATTCCCAGCAGGATGAAACGCAGTTCCGGATGCACATAGCCCATCTTAAAAGAGATTGGTTGCAATGAACCAGTTTCGTCTGGTTATCAATCTCGGCTCCATCTTTCATCCTTGCCGGTGCTTTCTTATTACATTGGCAATAGACAGAGTATTGGAGGCATGTCTGTACCAAAGTCTGAGTTGATCATTATTCGTTCTTGAGTTCAGATAGTTTGCAGTTCTTTGCTGTTCTGACAACAGCAATTTCCGGAGCTGAACATACGCGAGGGTATGGTTGTTGTGTGTTTTCAACTCATAAGCTCGGCGGAGAGATCAGCAAAATTCACATTTGTTTAAACGAGTTGCTTTCACGCACGCTAACTGCATCAGTGACCACACTCAGTTGCGAGAAAACATCTCAGCACACGCAATGAATGAACGGGGATTATCCATGGGACGAAAGTGTAAGCAACGACAATGGCATTGGCATTACCAGTGATTTCATTCGAAAACAACAAGAAACCGCGCGCGTGCACGTCCACGCACATACAAACGCAAGCATACAGAGTAAGAACAAAAACAATGGTGGTGTTCGCTCCCACTTACCAGCTGAAATGCATTACAAATGGCAATTGGTGATTGGTATGCACTTGTATTGTCAATGTTCAATAAAAAACGTTAACATTAAATGAGTGGTTTTCGGATTAGGCATTATCAAGTGTTTTGTGAATCCTCTTTATTGGAATCCTAGTGCCTGACGGTAAAGTATTCTGTTGGTTGTCAGTCACCTGCTCTGGTCAATGTATCAAACCGGTTGTAGCGGTTCTAGTATGCAATGAACATTCTAAACACCACGATGAATTCAGCAGTACATCAACCATTTAGACGGATGCTTCGTTGCTGCACAATCACAATGACTTACCGAACGAAGAATTAAAGTGATAGTGATGTGGCGGTAAACTTTATTTCCTGCAGCAAACATTCGACGTCAAGACGTCTACAACTTGCCAACAACACACCGTAAAATAAAGCTGGCTATCGCGCCAAGATAAGACGGCATTGAGGAGACAGTTTCCTTTCGGATTTCACTGATACCCGTCAAGGTTAAGGATTGCACTGCAGATAACTCGGCATCAAGCACACTTTGAACAGGCAGTCCGACCAGGTGAAAACCACATACGTGTCACTGGTGCCGAATGCGAGCCATGTTGGTTAACGTCAAGGGGTCATCATGTGGCTAGTGATCCTGCATCAACACTTTATATATTGAAGGAGCGGAGCATATGCTAAATGGTGGGATCACTGTGGTATGGTTATTTAAGATTGACTAGGCTACCTCAGTCAATTGTTAAACAGCAAGACACTATTGTCTGTGTAATCAACATCCGCAAGTATTCCACCACGCAGCACCTCAAGGTCTGGATTGTCAGATGCCAATGAATCATTAACTGTTGTAGTCCGGAGTAGGGGATTTTGTTATAAAGACTTGACAGTTTGTCGCAGCCAGTTCCAAATCAGATAGTCGTCCAAATGCCTGGAAAACACTGGAATGCCGTTTCAGCCTGTTGGGCGCCATCAGTAGTGCGCATCCTTCGGATCCATCAGGATTCGCACTCGTGACCGCCATCGGCTTGCATCGCCAGTCAACAGCTTATGCTACTCGGCCACGGAGGACAGCTTCTGATGAAGCCTAACAGGCTGAATGTGCAGTATAGTGCTTCTCCGGGCATGTGGACGACTATATGTTTTGGAAGCCTGCTGCGACGAAAACTCAGTTATTTATATCGAAACTCCAAACTCCTTAATACATCAAAATATATTCGCCCTGAGTGTTTCTAAATGCCATGTCGTACATCGCTGCTGCCAGTGGACACCGTGTCTTTCGAGACCAACTCTGTCCTCTGCAACGTTCGTAACTTGCATGACAGTGGAGGATAAGACGCGATATATCGCAGTTAGCTTGCGGATCATGACGGTCCGAAACTGTCCTCCTTGGCCAAGTGGCATAAGCTGCTGACTGGTGATGCAAGCCGCTGGTGGTCATGGGTTCGAATGCTGATGAATCACTAACGGTTGTCTCACGTAGCCCCTAAGAAGCTGTGTGGGCTAATGGTACAGGTCGTGCCATGTGCATCATCCTCAGGTCATAATTTATTAGTTTGAGGGATTCACACGCGATCGAATTTGGTCTTGAGATGCGTGTCACAAAGCAGCTAACCCGACAATGTCTCCATTTCGGGCGCGATCCACGAGGATAAAAATGTCAAGGCTAACTATTAATAGGTAGGTAACATTTCAGTTGACGTGATCGTGATCGTAAGGACAGAGGTAATTTCATTAGCGTATTTTGAGGGGGAAATCCACGATAAAACATAATGACCGTGTGAAGCATATTGTTACCTATTTTGTAAAATCGTGTTTCCGCCTCGCAAATGCTTTTTCCAGTACCGTTATGTTATGTCGACTGTGAAATGCTTAGCTCGTAACTCTCCGCAGAATCAAGGGACAAGTGATAGAGATCAAAAGCAATTTAGATGCATCCCATTTAAGCCGTGTGACTTCCAGCGCAGAGCTGTCATTTCCGCTTCATCGAAAAGCCAGTCAGATGGTATCTCTTGATGTGCCGGTGATTTGCTCGCGCAATCAATGTACCATGTTACTACCCTAGCTGATTGTATATGGATTATGTCAATGTATTCGCAGACAGCCCCAAGGAAAGTGACAGGCAAAAAACGCGATACACATTCCAGTTGCCGTCAACTTAGTTCTACCTACGGCGATCCAGACCTCTTTACATTTACACGGGCTAAACAGTCCCAAATTGGGAGTGAATTATCTTAGTACCGGTAATTTGCTGCACTTTTGCTAAGAAGGCGTAAGAAGTACATTGCCTCATGATACATGATACTGTGTAAAGTATTTGGGGTGGATCAGACCAAGAAACGCGTTTATACACGTACAGAAGAATTACCGCTTAGAGGAACTGATCGAGTTTTCACAAAAAATGATTTAAACGTCTTAATTTAATCCTGAGCGTAAGATGGAGAAATATCCCGAATTTTAATGACCGAGTAAGATTTCCAAACATCTAAAGGAAAATTAAATTTAATTCATTAAGGGAGCTGCACCAAGCCCTCCATCTAAATACTGATCTGACAGCATTCCTGCTTATGGGGCAGTGCGCCGTTTGTCGGTAAGTATATCAATTTATTTATTTGTTTATGAATTAGCAAGTAGATCGGTTGTGCACGAATATTTCCATGCAACATAGGTTAATTAAGTTTTGCTAACCCCAGTTCACAGAAACATCAGCACTAACGGATGCATCTACCGATGTTACGCGTACTTCGCCTACCACATTTGAACGCTAACCCCGCACAGACTATTTTGCCACCAGTTGAAGAGAATGCACTACATTTCAGGGCCTTCTGAAAGTGGTACCATGACGCAATTTTGAATCCTTAAAGTAAAACCATCATATGGCGGAGGTACAGAGAAAGCCCCGATGTGCCCGCTGCAGTCGACTACTCCACTGCTTCACAAATGCTGGTTTACAAGTTGTAACATATGAAAACCCATCAAATCAACCTCAGTGGGACGTGATTACTGATGGTAATGTAAGCTCCCGAGTAAGTGGTTTCATCTGGATGACATAGGTCCATGTGCAGTCAAGACATTTCAACAAGTTGGACAAGTGGGCAATGTAATGAGTCACTCGGATTAATACCTTTAACTGGTTTCTGCGAGTAGCAAACGTGAGATCACGTGCATTAACGCGAAGTGTCATGTGAATCAGTGTAAAAGCGCATGAGGTTAAGTGAAAGGTGCCCAGCGACCAATGAAATGTGTCATCTAGGTGTGCTTGACGCTCATTGGTCGAATCGCATTACGAGAGTCGGAATTCGTCAGCAGTTGGTTGGCATTTAACTATCTCGAAGATCCCGCAGATGAGTTGACACATTTGAATAAACCTGAACACCACGCTAAAGGAAACTAGTTAAGGGACGTTGAACACATCAGCTTTGCACATCATTATCTTGATAACAAATGTTGCAACTTATAGGCTCAAGGATAGAGCAGCGTACCAGCCTTTATAAAGGTGGAAATTATCAAGGTGAAAAGTACCGTTCTCATAGCGAAGTGGCCACCTCATTTTTATATGTGCCAAAATTCACAGTTTGTGAGATGAAGGCATAAACTTTTAGGCCGAATTTCATTTTTACAAGTGGTCACTTTTTTACAATCCACATATTGGTAAATCGCATCGGCTCTGTTAGTTTTACAAATAAAAGGCTTACCTCGATCAAAATCCGACGCATTCAGCGAGGTTTGTTCTGATTCAACAATGGAAGAGAGTTCATCATCTGCGTGACAACGGCATTTGTATTGCCCGAAGTAAGGGTGCGCTGTAGGGGAGAAATATATGTGGCAGTGTACAGTACAAATCTTGCCAGTATGGTAATGTGGAATAACGTCAGTGTTCGTTGCTGGTCATGTTTCTGCTACAAAGCTTTGTGGTGATGAAATTGATAATGTTGGCATCCAAGAACTCATTGAACACTGCTTAGTGAATGAACGGCAAAGGGTACACACGCCCGACGTTCAGGTCAACTTGTATCGCAAGTATGACAACACACCTCATTAAATCGGTAGCAAGATTTCATAATAGATGTGACAAATAAATCTAATGGAAATAAATATATGCTAGAACTTCCTGATGACAGTCTGTTCGAAACAAGCCATTTCGGCTCCTAGGTGCAGCTAGACCGCTGGTCATTGGGTACAGAATTCGTTTAGAACAGAATATCAATTACCTTATAGGAGAAATGCACTTAGAAGCAAAATAATCGAAGAATAGTTAGGAATAAGTCTCTCAAGAGCACAACCCAGATACATGGAAACGAAAACATGTTCTTCTGGTGACAAGCAGGTGTCTCCATGTTCGCCTACGCAACGCCATTGCAATAGCAATGTGTTTGTTTGATATTTCCATGTTCCGTAAATAATGGAAGAGTATCTCCAAGAAGGGCATTTACTACAACTCGGTGAATCAGCTTACCAACTACTATGAGCGGTTATTTGAGTGTAGGAGGGTAGGTTCTATGTATGACTGCCTTAAGAATGGCGGGAAGTGGTTTGATGCAGAGGAAGTGAATTGCAGGTTTGGGCAATGTACACTCATTCCACCGTGAAGTGGTGTGCGACCACTGGTGTTAGTTAACTTCCCAGGTCATGTGACACATACTTTTCCTCTTAAGAAATAATCCCAAGCAAATTCACCTTTTACCGATAGAGAATATCCGGTTGCATGCCACGAAGATTCACCGAATATTCCTAGGGAAGACTTCTACTGCGAAACTAGAAAAGACCTGCTTTTCTGATTCGTCGGCAGGCGGGCACAGGCAAACTAATTTGGACTGGAAGGTCTGCGAGAAATCACAAGTTTAATGGGTCCAATGACAAAGTGTCAAATCAATATAGGTGTGTAATATGTCATTTTTGTTAGCAAGATCTTGCCTCTAATAGTAAAAAAACATGGCTCATCCATCGAGATAACAGTTAGCAAAACACCTCCTTTTCACTGGCAAAAGGAATCGATCAATGCATCTGTTTTTATTTACGTCCTCTACACAAGTAGAGAAGTTGCTACCGTTTTGTTGGTAGTGCTCTCACTCTTCGAAGCCATTTTCAGTGATGCTGAGACATCAGCTTATATACGGGGTCCGCGCATTCAAAGTACCTCTACTATGTATGGCGACAGTCTTGTTCACGAGTCACCTGCGCACTGGCATTCAGAACTAAGAAGAAAATATCGTACAAGTCCATGCTATTCAGTAGGGCACGATGGGTCTTATCATCTTGTAAACTGCTGGCATGTCCCATAACAAATGTGAAGCCGGAACCGTATTCCATCCAGCATAAACGAACCATTAGATAATGAAGTTTGGTTTATCGGCAATTTCTATGTATATATTCTCTCTTACTCTACCCTCTGTATCTGCGGTTAGAGTGAAAGTGATCAAACTCACAAGGGTAATTAAAGCAACGACGTCAGTGCGGATCCCCTACCTGTACAATTGTCGTTCCGGGTCTCTCGTTGGTGGAATTCCTATAGCTGGTTGGCAAAATCACCTGAAAACGTGAAACACACTGCTCATCTACAGCTGGCTGCCTCTGGCAGCTAGGGTATGTGTGTGGCAACAGCGACGGAGCATTCACATCTAGCTTTGTTATAACGGAGGTAAGAATACTCCACCGCTCCCCGTTGTTTTGTGAGTTTTGCCCCCCCCCCATCCCTACTCACCCTGCGTTCTTTTCCGGTTCTTCACATACCTTCCCTTTTGCCTCACATTTGTGATTAGCTTGTATGGACACTGCATCTTACGCACGTTAGCTTTTCCCTTAGTTTGCGCATTTGGTTCGCTCGTGAGGCAACTTATCGATCCCCCGCTTTTTGAACTGACTATCTTTGACTGATCGAATGCTAGCCTTTCTTCATAGTCTGTGATATGTCCTAATTTGAATATTGTGATTGAGTTGCACAGACAGACGCTTGGTGGCCGGTTTGGCTTGCTGCGTGAACATCGTTTGTTGCCCGGTCGTTGGTGTTCTCACTACCGTTAGTGGGTAGAAGCAGTTGTGGGGCTCCGACAAAACAAGCTTCCACTAAGGAATAGAAGTGGACTAAAACCTGTGTGATATCGTTACGAAGTCAGAAAAGTGTGGAATGCGATGGTGTCCGTTAGGATGGGTCAAAATACTACCTCCGTCAGGCCCAGAGTAGGTATTGTTTACATGGCGAGTAGTTTGTGTCTACTTCATTCAGACGTTACGGTGGTTATATTGTTAATTGGGGATAGCTTATGAAGTCGGATAAAGCTTAATTTGTACCTGAATAATGAAAGTCCCATGGGTCCATGTTAAACAAGTACAAAGATTCCTATAAAGTTAACTACTCTAATGCGTAATGTGACTTAGCAGCTTTGTTTAACCAAAGCATATCTGACAAGCAGAACTTTTGCTCCAGTCGCAAGTGTAGACGTCATGTGTTGAGAAGCGTTGAACTGGATTCAGAACGCGCTTGATCTTCAACGCTTCCTTGTGCGTAAAGTAGATAACATTTTTCGAAAACTCTGTGACTTTCAAGAATGTTTCAAGATCAGAAAACCAGATATTAAACGGGAGTAGATGATCTCAACATATCCCATAATAACCTGAGTTCCGTCTTGTGCGCAGCTCGTTACATTGTTCCGTGAGCGTGTAACACGGTTAGAACTCACGGTCGCCGTAGTGCCTCGGCTTTACCCTAAATGCATAAATAGAACAAATGATGCACATCATACGTATTTCTATCTCACACCGAGGTCATTGTTAAGTTAACCTTGTGTATCAAGTTGATAGAAGTGAAAGACTGTGAAGATTACGGATGGGAGGGAGTAACCCAGAAGAAGGTTAATGCCGTTGAGACAACCTGAACAGTTACAGCTGCTACCTTCGGAATATTAGAAGAATATGGTTCGCGGAGTGTACAGTAATAAACCAATAATGGTAAGTGGGTGAAATGGTCGCTAGAGTTCAGAGTGGAAAACCTATCCAATCGTTGGTGGTCTTATTAGTCTCTCATAGTCAGAGTACTGAATGGAATATGGGAATGTGATGGAGTGCCCAATCAGAGTTCACAGACAAATTCAAGGAAGAAGCTTGATGGCCAATTGAAGAGGAACTTACTGAAATCGATCTTTGGACGTTAACTGTCTGATGTAGGTGTGTGTTACGGTGACTTCCTTCATCGTTTGTCTTTCTGAGTAAAAACGGAGACTCACCAGCCAAATTCGTAGTCGTTTGTGAAAGGGTATGAGCAATGTATCTTCAGACCTCTTCTTCGCTGAGTTGCTCTTGCTGGATAAGCGCTTATCTCTGAAAGACCGCCTTATGTGACGAGGGAAGAGAATTACGGCTACACACAAACAAAACCTACGCTAGGCACAATCTCACACAATTGAACGCCTGCGAATGGGGCCGCGATTTGCAAACGATTCAAGGTGAACTCACGAGAGAAACGCTGGCAGAATAATTATGCTAATTAGCCGTCCGACCGGCTTCGTATTCATGGGACGATAACATACAGTGGTCTAGTCGGAGATCGAAAGTTGGTAAAATACGGATGCATACACGGCTGGATAAATCGATCCCGGAAAGTTGCGCTACCGTTACTCATGTATGATCAAGGATGGCTCAAGCATGGGACGATTTACTTGGAAGAAATTAAGCTCCACAATGAGGATAAGGTGAGATATGAGCTGTGCTCATACAATCGTTCCTTATACACCTTGGCTAGAGGTGTAAAAACCTTAGCTACAGTGCCGCAATACGTAAAAGAAAAAAAGAAAAAAAGCCACCTGAGCTACCAGTAACGGATGAGAGTTAGGTTCAAAGAGGACATCAAACATTGTATCACTAGCCAGATGAAGGGAAGAGCTATGGTTGGGTCAGCAGCATGGTAGAGCGTCGTCAGACAGAGAATAAATGCTTTCCAGAAAATCTGTAAGCCAGCATAACCCTTATAAGGGACCACTGGTAACTGAACTAAAATTTGGTTCGCTGAGGCTTCAGAAGATGGTGATCACAGAACCTAGCACGGTAAGTGGGGTGTTAGATGTGGTGGAAGCGTTATCGATGCCTACAGACCAAGCATCAGCCTGCTCCGGACCGCAGCACGCTCCGAATCGCGGCATGTTCTGTGGGCACATTTCATTGGTCTGACGACGATCATTTTTGATTCCACACAATGAACTTTGTAGACCTTCCTCGAAGCTTCGTGGAATACAAAACCAATGATCGAGTTATTTTGATGACGTGTCTGGACACGCGTTCTTCACAAACAAATCGAATGTGAACAAACGGTTAAAAGGGAATACGGAAAAGTTGGTGGTAAATTGCTTCTCGTTAACACAAATTGTTGTGAATTCGAAAAAGCAAGCGCTCAGAAATGGACTAACGTGCAGTGCAATATTCATATCGTTGATCTGTTTGTCTCATCTAACACATAAACTCGGGACCCAAGGTCAGCAAACAGATAACCAATCACGGACTACAGCTGCATGGATCAATAAATTAAACGATAGAGTTAGTGGATTGGATCGCAAGCAAATGATGGATACGAAGCATGCAGTAGTGTCATGTCGAGTCCTCAATGAGGTTATTCGGCGCTTCGATTCGTCATCCGACTTAGCGCACTTTCAATGAACCAGCAAGATGATATGTTCAACGCTATTGATCTGGTTACTTCAGACAGGTTAATGAACCAAGGGTGTTTACAAATAGATACCGACTAGCCGATTTAAACGTTACTTGCGGAGGCTCTATCGAGATTATCTGAATACCTGTCTGAGCATTGATCCGTGGG